CTTTCTCCCCCCGCCCCGCCCCGGCTCAGCATTGCCTCTAGGAAAAAAATTCATCCTTTCCTTTCAGATTATTGAGAAGCGTCGCCGTGATCGGATCAACAATAGCCTATCTGAGCTGAGGAGGCTTGTGCCTAGCGCTTTTGAAAAGCAGGTAATTTTGAGGGAGTTCAATGCTGCAATTTAGACTTGCTGTCTTATTCTCTGTCTTTCTTTGTGCTTGGCTGGAGCCCAACTGGCTTGCACTGACATTGTTCTTGACTTTCTTAGGGCTCTGCCAAATTGGAGAAAGCTGAAATCTTGCAGATGACAGTAGATCATCTGAAAATGTTGCACACAGCAGGAGGGAAAGGTAAGATCTCATAGGTAGCAGTTGTGTAGAAGGACTGTGTTGGCAGTTGCTTATAAGAACTGAAGACCAACCGTATCAGCTGGAAGCTGAGACTGAGAAGGGTAGCTGTGTTTTCCCAAGTGGAAATCCTTATATTGTCTAAGCAACACTATTGTGTTTGTGGGAGCTCAGAGATTTGCAGAAGTACAACAATACCTTTTGTTTGGAAAGGGGTTGATGGGAGAACTCCAAAAGGCTGGTGAGAATAGAGCATGCTCGGTGGACAGAGTGCTGACTTGGGGGCTAGGAGGGGGGAGAGAATGCAAAACTCACTAGTGGAAATTGAAAATGGAATGGTATCTTCTTGAAAAGACCACTAGCAACTGGAGCCTTGAAAAGGAAAAGCCACATGGCAGCATTTTATAGTGTGGTTATTTAGTACTATATTATGTAGTACAATAGGGCTACTTCAACATAAGATGATGAGAGTCTCAACTGAAACATATGCAATGTTTTTCACTTAACAAGTGAAATATTCTGCATATTTACACTGTTCAGTGGCTGTAAGTCCCATTGAGCGATTTCAATTTAATATGCATATGTGTATTGTTTCTCCTGTCCTGCAATATCTAACGACTTATTAGGACCAAAGGCACTTTAGGTAAATTGTATGGTTTCTGTATCTTTCTTGGTTATGTTTTAGGTAGGGGCAAGTGACAAAACAAGTGTTATGATGTAATGATGCAAGTCCCATGACTTACACACTTGGATCTACTGTTCGGATGCAAGAGTGGGATTTGCAATGTGATGTCTTAACACGCATTTTGTCATTTTTGTGTCATTGTAGTTTGAATTAGATGCCTGTATTTTAAGTTTTGATAATGAAGCTCAAGCTCAGATACTTTGGTCACCTAATACGAAGAGAGGACTCTTTGGAAAGGACCCTGATGCCGGGAAAGGTTGAAGGCAAAAGGAGAAGAGGAC